CAATTATATTAGCAACTTAACTGCAACCCAAACCGATGGTTAAACTGCTGTTAATTGTTTTCATGCGGGTTTGATGAACCTCCTCGTTGTTGTTTCATTATTTTTTTTTTGCGCGTTCGAGTAACCCTTGCGACCTTTCGCCCTTGGCGAATATTTTCACTCGTCGGCCGAAAATAAATTATATAAACTTAATTAAGCGACGGGCGCGCAGCAATGAAACGTTTTGTTTCTCTTTTCAGTCAACGCGCTTCTTCATAATAAGAAGTGCAATTTCGAAAAGCATCTTAATTTTAATGTTTTTGTTTTCTTACTGAGAAACATGTTTTCTAAGCGTGAACAAATTTACATTAATTTCATACTAAATGTTCGTTTGGGGTTCAAAGCAACATTCGCTGTCTGCTTCTCTTATCTGGTGAGGAAAATAAAATGTGTATGCAGAGTTTGGCGATAAATGAAACGTTATCGCGGTCTGAGGCCTAATTATAGCAAATTGTTTCTCGGAATTACATCGTAGGACATCGAGAACAAAAAAATACAAACCTTTGTTTAAAGTTTTCCTGAAAGTTTAGATTATTGTTAAAATCTCTGCTTTACGAGAAATAATTACCTTGAAGTAAGTTTGAGGGTTGCATTTTAAGAACCGATAAATACTTGAACGACGTGTGGCCTACCCTAAATGCAGACCGACATGCAAAAAACGCAACTTAATTACCTTAAAAGTCCCATTTGAAAAGACAAATTGCTCTTGGTTTCTTTCCATTTCGATATTAATTCAGATTATAACATTAGTCGTGTCAAGACTTGGTTTTATGCTAATATCATAAGTATTAAGGTGACAGCAAATTGGTTTTACCTAAGTTCTTCTGTTCACTTTAATAGAAACAAAATGTAAACAGTATTAGTAATATTAGCATAGATACATAAACTATTATAGTTTAAACAATTTGATATTTCCTGTTTACGACTTTGTTTACAAAACAGTATGTTGGAAACTGAACGAAACGTAAACGTTTTAGGAATTATTGTGTTTTTTTTATCGTGTTAAGTAATTAAATGTAAAAATGAACTGGCATATTCATTGGATTGTTGGGTTATTCCACGGTGATCGCGTTTTGGATAAGGGTTGGTTAGAGATCCGGAGATAGGCACCCCCTCTGTGTGTTTTATGGTTAAGTAAATGCACCCTACAGGCTTCTAGTGTCAACTTATTGCAAAATATTGATTGTTAGCTAATAGCTGCTACCCAATACCATCAAGTTATTTCCTTAAAAAAAAAGCAAGTATAATCAAATCAATGTGCGATTGTAACAGAACAGGAAATATAATTCCTTATCTTCTCGAGCACTCGAAGTGCTTAGGCTATTTCACAAACTGCTGTATTATGAACGACGTTGACCGCAATAGCATCGCAAATGGCCACTCTACACCGAATTGCCAGAACTGCAATTACACCCAAACTGCAATTTCATTTATGGAAAATATCCGTGATCCATGTAAATTGGGCACTTTAGTTTTGATAATTGTTATAGTGATGATTAAGATTTTAGTATGACTGGAATCTATTTGTTTACTATATAATCATAAATGTTTGTTTATTTTTAAATATTGTCATTTCGCTAATTGCGTTCAGTGTAATTAACGTGTTCGGTTGTTTTATTGCGTCAATTAACCGTACGCCTTTCATGTGACGTTTTTAAATGTCATAAATTAATTAATTTACATAAATTTGATGCGTCTCGACGTGTTTAATCGTTTATAAATTTGTAAATTTCAGTGAGTTTCGTTACAAATCGTCTATATCGAAATGTTAGATAAAGATGTTATATTATAGAAATAATCTAAAAGGTCTGAATTGAGGCTGCAAATGTGGAGATTTACAAAAAAATGAGTTGACCTAGGTATTTGTCACAAGGCTACATTTCTGTAACACATTTTTCTAAAAATTAAAAACAAAGCAAATATTTTCAATTACATTTGTAATCATATCTTATTTGTTGAATATTATTTAATTCAATAAATTGTTGTATTTCGAACATATTCAAAGCAATGTTTACTTGTAAATATTTATGTGAACGTATCTTTTCAACACAATGTTCAAATATTTGTGTTTTGTGCGCTCTGCTTGATAATTTGTTCACATTTTATGATTATTTGAGTTATTTACAATCTGTTGATTGTCAATTCTTCTGTAAATTTTTCAAATGTTTTCGAATGCTTCTTATTTAATCAAACAAAAAAATCTAAACAAAATTAATAAGTTGTTCAAAATTTGTTACTTGATCCTATTTGTGTTTAGCGAGTCATTTTTCCACTGTACTTTAGAAACAAATGTATTTAGCTTCAAATGATATTCAAATTACAAATTATTTCATCAAATACAAAAATATATTTTGTACTTTTTCAGTCGTATTTTCCTTCACAGTTAAAATATTTTGAAGATAACTTCGATACATTTTCTAATTTCATATAACAGAAATTTTGATTAATTTGTCATAATTTTCGTTTTGTTTCACAAACTCGATTAAATCGATTTATTCTTATTTATTTCTTTCTTACATTTAAACTTTCAACCTAACGTTACTAGAGTATTAATATTCATAAAATCGTCTATTTTCAGTCATATAATTTTGTATTTGTTGATTATATAATTTGAATAACTTTATTACAATGATTTGGTAATAATTTCTGTTTTGATGATTCTGTTTTGAGTTATTTACGATCTGTTGATTGTCAATTCTTCTGTAAATTTTTCAAATGTTTTCGAATGCTTCTTATTTAATCAAACAAAAAAATCTAAACAAAATTAATAAGTTGTTCAAAATTTGTTACTTGATCCTATTTGTGTTTAGCGAGTCATTTTTCTTACATTTAATTTTGCTCATTAAGCGAAGTTCCACTGTACTTTAGAAACAAATATATTTAGCTTACAATGATATTCAAATTAGAAATTATTTCATCAAATACAAAAATATATTTTGTCCTTTTCAGTCGTATTTTCCTTCACAGTTAAAATATTTTGAAGATAACTTCGATACATTTTCTAATTGCATATAACAGAAATTTTGATTAATTTGTCATAATTTTCGTTTTGTTTCACAAACTCAAAAGAAAACTCAAATAGTTTTCTTTTAAATCGATTTATTCTTATTTATTTCTTTCTTACATTTAAACTTTCAACCCAACGTTACTAGAGTATTAATATTCATAAAATCGTCTATTTTCAGTCATATAATTTTGTATTTGTTGATTAATTAATTTGAATAACTTTATTACAATGATTTGGTAATAATTTCTGTTTTGAGTTATTTACGATCTGTTGATTGTCAATTCTTCTGTAAATTTTTCAAATGTTTTCGAATGCTTCTTATTTAATCAAACAAAAAAAATCTAAACAAAATTAATAAGTTGTTCAAAATTTGTTACTTGATCCTATTTGTGTTTAGCGAGTCATTTTTCTTACAATTAATTTTGCTCATTAAGCGAAGTTCCACTGTACTTTAGAAACAAATGTGTTTAGCTTCAAATGATATTCAAATTAGAAATTATTTCATCAAATACAAAAATATATTTTGCACTTTTTCAGTCGTATTTTCCTTCACAGTTAAAATATTTTGAAGATAACTTCGATACATTTTCTAATTTCATATAACAGAAATTTTGATTAATTTGCCATAATTTTCGTTTCGTTTCACAAACTCAAAAGAAAACTCAAATAGTTTTCTTTTAAATTGATTTATTCTTATTTATTTCTTTCTTACATTTAAACTTTCAACCCAACGTTACTAAAGTATTAATATTCATAAAATCGTCTATTTTCAGTCATATAATTTTGTATTTGTTGATTAAATAGTATGAATAACTTTATTACAATGATTTGGTAATAATTTCTGTTTTGATGATTCTGTTTTGAGTTATTTACGATCTGTTGATTGTCAATTCTTCTGTAAATTTTTCAAATGTTTTCGAATGCTTCTTATTTAATCAAACAAAAAAAATCTAAAAAAAATTAATCAGTTGTTCAAAATTTGTTACTTGATACTATTTGTATTTAGCGAGTCATTTTTCTTACAATTAATTTTGCTCATTAAGCGAAGTTCCACTGTACTTTAGAAACAAATGTATTTAGCTTCAAATGATATTCAAATTAGAAATTATTTCATCAAATACAAAAATATATTTACGATCTGTTGATGTCAATTCTTCTGTAAATTTTTCAAATGTTTTCGAATGCTTCTTATTTAATCAAACAAAAAAATCTAAACAAATTTAATTAGTTGTTCAAAATTTGTTACTTGATCCTATTTGTATTAAAACATTTGTATGTGTTTTTTTGTTTAATCAACAAATTAAGTAGTTTTTGGAATTAATTTAAAACAAAATATTGACAAACAAAATTTAAAAATTATTTTTTTTTCAACAAAGTTGTAAATGTAGAGAAAATCAGAGGTTTGTCTTAATGAAAATATTATAGATTGAAAAATGGTATATCGTAAATTTCAGTACAAATAGAACCAATTAATAATTATAATGTTATGATTACGCAAATAAGTAATTCTGGAAAGTAATTAACTGTTGTTGGTTTGCTACATAAATTGATTCATTATTTAACAGTGATGTTCTTGCAAGTTTAGTATGTGCAGTATCAGTTAATCATTCCATAATATATTTATCGGAGTTGCGTCACGGCCGATTATAGCCAGCACAAGATGATTCACACGATTGTTGCGAGTTTGTTAGCAACAAATTGTAGAAGAAGTGTCGTTGCAGCTGCAGCTTTCATCTTCGGAAGCGATGATGTTGATGCGCCCTGCGAATCCGCCCCTCTCGATGATGATAAGCCATATGTTTATATATATATATGTGTGTGTGTGTGTAGATGTGTACGTGTGGGCTTCGCTGTATCGGAAATCGAAGTGAGCAGACGTCTACGCCCCTCGAAGCCGGAAGTCGTAGTGACGTAGCCGCAGCCCATAGTCAGTAGTCTTTGATCCGTCGAGTCGGCTGTAGCGAGCACCACTCGCGTTCGCACTCCTCATACCATCCACATACATACTTATTCTTAACTTTGCGTGTGCTTCACCCAATTTTTTTCTTTCTAAAACAACCACCCTTAAGTGCGCTCAAACACCGGATCAACAGTGTGCGAATAAATTTGAAAAATAAGGGAAGAAAAAGGTTACGAAATTTCGGGTTCGACTTCAAATGACGCGCGAATCCATCATCTACAATTGCGACGAATTCTTTAACCGCGAAGATCTAAAGGTTAGTATAGCAGCTGAAGATATGGCCATAACCATTCCAACTTTGCGAATCGTTACGGTGCGTTTTTCTTGTGCCAAGTCTCATTACCTCGCGCACTGATCGATATCCAGACTCTCTCTCTCTGCTTTCCTTCTCATCCATCTATTTTTGCATTTGCGATTCCTGGAATCGAAGGGAAGTATTGAAGTCATCGGATGCATTCGTGAGGACGTGTCCAATGAGTAATGAGAATAATTTCTTATTAAGTAACGACCTCCGTGCGCTCTGCCCGCGGGCCTCGATCATATTTATGGAAATGTATTTTATGCGCGTTCTTGGGAAACGAAGGTGAACTGAATTTTTCTTTCGATTCAAAAAGGAAAATACGGCCGGCTTTTTGCTTCCAACAGATGAAGAGAAAACTCGGAATACGGCGCAAAATTCAAATTAATCTGGGTGTTATTGTGTCGATAACCTTTTGTGTTTATTCGGTCTCATGATCGTTTTCGCGACATGGATGTTTCAATTTAAACAACGCCTATTGTATAATAAACGCCGATGCCGAATAACAACGTAATCATTTCGATACGCATTCATGAAAACAAAGAATTTCTTCTTTTTTTTTTCATTTGTTCATTTTCCAATTTACACACTTGATCATTGTTTAAACCTAAACTTTTTAAATCATTTGCAATTTATTACTAAATGAATATATCACTTAACGAGTTTAATACGTTCCAGAATTTTCGGATTTTTACTCGTATAATGAAACATATACAAAAATACACACAAGTTTTAAAATTGATGTAGCAGGCGCGCAATCCAGGACTTCTCTTCTCATCATTATGCGAAACATCGTTCGTTTAGCGAGTCATTTTTCTTACAATAAATTTTACTCATTAAACGAAGTTCCACTGTACTTTAGAAACAAATGTATTTAGCTTAAAATGATATTCAAATTAGAAATTATTTCATCAAAGACAAAAATATATTTTGTACTTTTTCAGTATTCAGTATTTTCCTTCACACTTAAAATATTTTGAAGATAACTTCAATACATTTTCTAATTGCATATAATAGAAATTTTGATTAATTTGCCATAATTTTCGTTTCGTTTCACAAACTCAAATAGTATTCTTTTAAATCGATTTATACTTATTTATTTCTTTATTTCTTACATTTAAACTTTTATCGCAAGTTTACTAGATTATTAATATTCATAAAATCGTCTGTTTTCAGTCATATTTTTATTAAAAATTGACACAAAATATCTTCGATCAAATTTTGTATTTGTTGATTATATAATTCGAATAACTTTATTACAATGATTTGGTAATAATTTCTGTTTTGATGCAAAATTTATTTATATATTTTTCCCATTTGTTATCACGAATTGTAGAGATAATTCACATTCACATGATTATCATAATAATTCAAGCAATATGTGAATTTAATACATAAAACCTTCATTATTAAATAATTTGTAATCCAAACAGCATTTGAACTTAATTAAGTTATTGTTACTTAAGCTTTTAAACATTGTTTTTTGTATTTGCAAATTCAATTGAATTACGCAGATAATGATAATATCTATTACAAATTATTAAATTTGTTATTGAAAACGTATCCTCGAAATTACAGTTAAACAATTCTAAAATATTTCCATTTATTTATTTAAATGTAATTGTTAATCAAATACTTAATTAGGTTCGCTTTGTTAAGTAAATATTGATAAGTGTAACAGTTTTGCAAGCACACAATTTTATTTCTGTTAATACATTTTACTATTAAACATGTTTTTCAAAAAAATTAAGCATTTATTAAATTATGATAATATACACTTTTCAATAATAAGTATTAAATTTAATTTATATGTAAATTAATCAACTTTTGTTGCATAATTTCGCCTGTTGACGTCCAGTAGATATAAATAATTGAATGCAAATATGTTTTGTATTTGAATTGAGGTCATTTGCAGAAATGTTTACGAATTGACAATGCAAACTGCGATTATTTCACGTGTCAAAGATACAAGAACGCTTCGAACGTATTGATTTTGTTTACTTGCGAGCAAGACAAATAATATTAAACGATTTTCAAATTGCATTTGGGGAAAAACTAATAGGAAAATGTTGTATGCAGACATTCGACTTGAAATAGTCGAGCGAGGAAATAAGTTTTTTTTTTCATTCAATTTATTTCTTAAAATAGTTTTGAAAAATGTTGTTGTAATTATAGTTTAACTGTTTCAAACAAAAAACTATTGATTGATTGTTAATGGAAACTTGACTGCAAAATCGAATGTTTACTCATTTTATGTAATGACTTAGTTAAAAACATGTAACTATGGAATTATGTAATTTTATAAAAAAAGCTTGTAACTTTATGTTTTTAGTTAATGGTTTAACGAAATGAAGTGAAAGCAAGAAACAATTGATTCTAGAATTGAGTGTGTTTAAGAGTTAATGAAATGGTAGTTAAAAACTATTAGCTTTTAATGGGAGAATTTAGGGGAAGTCAAAAAAATTGTAGATGATCACTGATTGATGTGCAAATTGGACATCCGAAATCCGTGCGAGGATTGTTCAGAGTCAGTGTGTGTAAATGGAATTGTTTCCATTGTGGTGTAGGAGAGTTTAAAAAAAAAGCGTGCACCTAATTGCTTCTATTTATAATGATTCTTCCTTCACCGACATTCTGGCTCTCCGTGGTGATTGCAAGGTGAACCGGTTTCGCGAGAATCTCCGGCGCTGGTGCTGCTGCTGCTGCCGTTGCACATTCTGCACGGTGAGAGAAGAGTGCCGGAGGAAGAGGAAAAGCAAAGAGTTTGTTGTGTATAAATGATGTGCAGAAAAGAAAAAGAGCAGCAGAGAGAGAGAGAAAGAAAGAGAGCGCGCGCGTGCTGAAGAGAGAAACACAGAGAAGAGTGTACGTTTGAGCGAGTGAGTGCGAGAGAGACAGAAAGAGAGTGAGTATGTATTGCGAAAAAGAGATTGACCCGGATGCATGCGGAATGGATTTGGCCCCGTTCGAAGCCCCCTTCTAGGATGCGCTTTCCTTCGGTTTGGGGGGCGCGTGCCCCCTCGACCCCATTTATACCATTTACTTTACGCACGCAGCTGTTTTCTTCTGCTAATTTTAGATTGGCCTGATGGCGATCATGGTGATGATTTGCACGTTTTCTGGGACGCCTCGCGCTCGATCCTCCTCCTCCTTCTTATTTTGCGAGGCTTTCTGAAAACTCGAAAATCCTTTCTCCTCTCCGAAATCCATCTCTAGATCCTCTCTCACTTTCCCAAATAAAAAAAAAAAGAATCATCTCTAAACATAGCGGAGCATACACACAATCATCGCAAGAATTTATATAAATACACACACACAATTGCGCGTACAAAGTTTATATGTTCTCTTCTGTGTAATCTCTCAAGGTTAATTTTCCAACTACGAACTATGGACATCTGCCTTATCTTTCTATAAATATTTTTTTTTGTGTAAAGCATTAATAAATATTTATCAACTAACAAATAACTGGATCTGTGCTTAATTATTTATAATCCGAAATGTTGAGTGCATTTTTTTCAATTTAAAATATTGTTATAAATAAAAATAACGTCGGTGGTGTTCTTGGGAAGTAATGCACACCTGAATGAGAAGATTACAGGTCCTCTTTGTTGGCTCGTGAATAATAGAAAGGTACGGAGAAGATTTGCAACAGTGACAAGTTTTTAATACTAAATACAAAATTCTCGGTACAAACCTCAGGGTCGTTGGTCAGGTGTTAAACTATTGTTAGGATTATGTTAGGTATACTTTTTGCGCATCCAATTCGGTTTGTATTTACCCATTCCAACATCTTCTTTTCCATTTTCCAAAGCACACCCAAAGTTGTAATTTCAATTTGAAAATGTTTGATGAGCTCTGCAGTAATTACTCTTGAGTATGTTTAGTAACGGATTGAAAGTTGACTTGCATCAGGAATGTTTTTAATTAGTTTCGGGTATTTATAATATTCGTGGCTGCATTTTTAAATGTAAATGCTTTGCTTCCTTCTGCGCCGGAAATCACATACATTATAGACGCTTGGAATATCAACTTGGGGAATCGAATGTGTGTATTTCTTCTTCCTCGTGCCTTCCTTTAAAACCGATGCGTTCATAATGAAATATGCACGTTATAAGAGTTTTTTTTTTGCGCACAAATGAAACCAATCAAGGTCCAAAATTGTTGTTGCCTCGATTATTAATTAAACAGCTATGCGCCATTGTTCCCCGCTTTCGGTGTCATTGTACACCTGCGCATGAATCACGTCTCAAAATGGATTCTTTTACCTGATTTTTAATTGTTTATTGGGAAAAACTATCCCTCGTCTCTCTATGACCTTACCCAGTGCGATCCAATTGAATCGCATCACAGGAATCCGCAATCCATTGTCCTGTGGAGTAAATCCGTTTTACTTGATGGCATCGCACGACAACACAGTTTTTCCTTCCTTCCGTCGCTCAGTTCGCACGTGAATGGATCGTAATTGAGCGAACGGAATTCCTTTTTGTATCTACAATCCTTCTCTTCTCTTGCTGCGAGATCTCTTCTTGCCCCAGTCAGTTGCATCTCGTTCGTGCTTCATCATCATCAACATCATGCTTGACTATAATAGTAGTAGCAGCAGCAGCAACACGTAAATTTTATTTAAATCACGTACCATTTCTTCTTTCACCGCGGCCTCTTCCCACCCATTCTCGCATTACGAGTTCTCTTCTACGGATATGTGCAGTGACTCTCCGAAATCCGTGCTATGTGGCAACAATAGGCCCTTATCAGTTTTCAACACGGTTTTCCCTTCGAACGACATTCCTGTGACACGTGCTAAATCCAAATAATAAACAAAAATAAATAAACAACAGCAACAAGGATTATATCATTGTCCTCGATCTTACTAGGAACAGGTTAGTTCGCCGCTAATTTACAACTATTTGTCGGTATTGCCACGAGTTATTATTAGTGATTGAACCGTATAGAGAGCTTCGATCTTTTCTAAAGTTTAAAGAGGAGACACAGGGTACGACCTTCGGGCAATTGATATTAATTGAGCGATCATTGTTTGAGCGAACCTGATTTGTAATTTGATCATTAACACTGACAGCTCAGTTGCTGATTAATGAATATTAATTACACTACAATCGGAAGATAATTGCTTTAGCTCTGAAATTATTTGGTAGTTTTAAAGTCATTATTGCGTAATTACTTTTTTTTTGTTTATTGAAAATTCCTAAATTGAATATGAATTGATGTGAGTTTTAGAACATGAGCTTATGAATATGGCATTAAGTAAACTCGTAATAGCTGTTTGTTGTTCCTGCGATACTTAATTGGTTCTTCCTTTGGTAATTAGTTGAGTATGGGAAATTTAGAAAGGTGCACCTTGTGATTGAGAGAGATACACCTGAGCAAGTATCGGGGGCAACGTTCCCGTTCCAAATCAAGCCAAGTTTTCAGTTGTCTTGTATAAAGTATAGATTGATATTCGATTTAGATCGGGCAGACGTCTAGACGCCACTAATTGGGGGTAATTAGTGCAATGAATGTCACTAAAAAAAAGTCACGAAATTGGACCCTAATTGGCGTGTTCGATACTGTTACCATCTTCTCTCTTTTTGCTTCAGTTAGAATTACATGTGCATACGCCGTTGCATAATTATGATGGACGTTGTTGCAATTTGTGTGTGTTTGTTTCGGAATTTGATCCCGATAGAACTTATAGGTCAAAGATTAATTGGCTCGATACTTTATAGGGTACGAACTTTCAAACAATAGCTTCGGAGGTCTCTTTCTGCTCTCGGTACTCGATGAACAATATAACTTTCTAATTGAATTTCTAAATGTTCGATTTTTGTTGCTCTCGTTCGTTGGATGCATGTGCATCATGGATGGATGGATGGATTGATGAAGAATGTATGTGTATTGGATGGAAATATGGTGATGGTCGTGTCGTGTGCGGTGCTGCAGCCTCGAGAGTACGAAGGTTCGCGGAATGTGGAGCAAGTGCAGCTCGAGGAACGGAAGAGAAGAGGCGCGAATCGCGCGCTTCACGTCCTGGTCCGCGACCTTGGTAAGGTCAACGACTTGGATGTAGGCGCTTCCAAAGAGACACACATATTCGCGCAAACTAATTCCGCAGCTTTCACGCCGCTTTGGATTAGTGCCAATCGGCGGCTATTTCTTCATCTCTTCGTCTTCGTCGTCGTCGTCGTTGCCGTGCGCGCGAGGATGGAGATTCCTCGCTAAAGAGAAAAGACGACGACTCTTCAAGTTCTCGGTGTCCATTCATTACATCCCAATTAAATCCCGAGAATCTAGGATGGTCGTGGTCAGCGTCACGATTTCAATGAAAGCTACATTAAATACCATTGCGGTTTTACATCGTCTTGTTTTTTTCTTCATTTCTAGTTGCCTCAAATATAACTGTTTCTTCTTTTGAACAATCGACTCGTATCATTCAGATATTTTTAAATTGTTTCTTCGATTGCTCTTGCTAAATCAATTAACGTTCCCCAATAATAACGTTACAACAACTCTAGACCGGATCCACAAGCCATTATTGATAATCTCAATGAAAAACCTAATTATTGAAATTGATTTGAAAGCAGCATTGATATACAGCATTACAGAATGACTTGAGTTTGAACTTATATATATAATAATAACAGAAAAGGCATAGTTATTAAACGTTTTTCGAAATTAATAAGCAAAAAGCAGTTATTAGTAATTATATGTAAACTAAAATATGATTTATTGCGTGCATTACGACGAACTTCATTAAATTTTATGTTGACTTTAACGAGCTCCAAATAACTACACAAATTTACATATTTTTGTTCTTTTCTGTTGTGTAAAAGAAATGCATAGTAATAGAAATTCCAATTCTTGTACGTGTGAGGCAAATAGGCAATAATCAAATGTATAATTATAATTTTGGAATTAGTTTTTTTTTTTCTCTTTGCTCATGAAATGGTGCCTCTCAGATAGTTTTTCTTTTATGAACGTTTTACATGACCCTGACTGTCCATAAAGGCCGTGTCCGTGTAAGAATGCCTTCAATGCCGCTAATATGTAGGTTATCTGAGGTCGCTTACACCATTCCGCATCCTCTCACTCGTTTACTTCACTTGCAACTTCCTCAAGACACATATTTTCTTTTACATCCCTCTCCTACCTTCTTCTTTCCACGTCCTCCTCGGTTCATCGCTCATTCTCCGCGAATCAACTTCTCTCATATTCACACATTGCTTCTTTTTATTTACAAAAACAAATTTCGTTGATGGTCCACCAAGTTCCGGTCCAGTTTAAATTGGATTACGGTTAAACGTATACAATTGCCAATTTCGCAAGATCTCCAATATTATTAATGATGACTACTCCCTAGTTCCGTTAACAAATTGAGTCATTGCGGATATTGCAATCTATCTGATTATATCGATTAAATGCACGCTCGCACTTAGTTTAATCAATATTATAATTTAAAAAAATTACTCAATTGTACCTACTTACACATCATTGAACAAATCCCCATAGAAATGCATTTTTTGTTTTTATTTTAAACATTGTGATAATTGTGTTCATTTTTATAATATGTGTATATTAATGTTTTAATATTTTGTTTGTTCACTCGATGCGCAAAAGGATTTTAAGAATCATTTTATGGCAAGTATTAAAATTTATTATATTCGAGTTTTTCGTAGATTTTCGTTTTTCTTTTTTTTAAATTTCGAATTGAGCCCATGGAAATGTTGAATTAGGTTTGGGTTTGCGATTTTTAATTGAACATTTGGTTTGAGTGAAAATTTCGAAGAATTCTCGATTAGCATGTACAAATATTATTTATATGAATGCGACGATTATTGTTGCATGTTTTTTTTTGTGATTAATCTCAATTTTACTGAAATTTGCACAAACACAAAAATCTATAACAACACTGTAATTGTTGTAATATTAATATTTGATTAAAAATATGTTTGTATGTGGATTAGTAAACTTGTTGTTAAATCTCTCTCTATTTGCTGATGAAATTAGAAAGCAATTTTCGTGTTTATTTGCTCTTTTGGTGCGGATGGAAGATATTGCTGCAGGAGCAATTTGTAAAGGTTTTACTGCAGGGACCCGTTTTCCGGGAAATTCGCTAAAAATATTTTCATGATATTCGGTTGGACGACCGACCGTTAGTACAAAACAAGTAAACAGCGGTTATTATCAAGACGGTGAAAACTCGTTTTTGGACCGAAAATATTTTCCTAGTATTCAGCAGGTCATTTAAAGACAATTTGTTCGGTAGGTAGTTTCAATGTAATCTATGCCCCGCGCGCAAGGCAAGGATTTGGTTTAGTCGAACCGTCCATTCATGCGAACGTGATTTTATGACCATTTTCCTAATTGCAAACAACCAGTTTTCTTTTTTTCCTGGAAAGTTCTGCCCCCAAAAAATGGGGGGACTTCGACAACCACCCTCCCCCACCATTTCAAACGACATTAGCAAAGCGCACCCGGATTGCTAACGCATATTGACATCAGTATCCTTCGGGCGACTGTAGTGAATCATTCTATCACTCTATCTTATCTCTTGGACTCCGTCTGCTAGTGACTGACTCCCACCTCTCCTCTTCTATTTTTTTTTTCGTGATAATCCCGGTTTGTGACTGCATTCTTCCAAGGCCCCATTCGTCATTCGCCTGAGCAGTCACAATCATCTCTGTTATCAAAGAGACACCAGTGTTGAGCAACCGAAAAGAGCAGCTTATTATTATTAATATTCCAAGTGATTAGTGTGCATCGCGCTGTTGAGTAATAACACTAGCAACACTCGCTAGTATTTTAGTCAAGGTATTTAAATTGTTTTTAATTTATTATTTGTGAATACTCTTCGACAGTTTCTTGAATGAATTGTGGATTATGTAATCGGTGCTGCTATTTTTAAACGGATCAGTATCTCAATTCGGTTTATCTATTATTAAACAAAGGCATTTACTTTTATTAGTGTGTTGATGATAAGTTTCTGCTGCGGATTGGGAGGAAGGAAAGAGCGAGCGACTTTCGCGCGACTGTTATGTAAATCTCGCGAGTATTGCGATTGTCGAATGATTATGGTCGTGTATATAGGAAACTATAGGTCGAACGGGCAGCTACTGCTCTTTATCTGTTTTCACTTTTCGCATTTGTTAGTTAATGGTTCGCTCGATTGCGCAGCTGGTCCGAAACGGCTTTGTTTGTAAATAAAGACGATCGGTTCAGGAGGATTGCTGTGGTACAACCGATACATTCGTTATTGGTTCGTCAGTCGACGGAATGATTCATGTGCATGGTTTAGTTGAGGTGTTTCTTGATGTTCTCTTCGGTGATTCTAAAGTGTTCAAAAGTATCTAATAGCAATTTGTTTTTGTGTAATTTGCAGAGTAGTAACGGAGGCACGAGAGCGCCGTTCCCAGGCGGCGTCAAGCCTCCAATGGCTACCCAACACCAGACTGGCTTTCGTGCCCAATGGCCCAACCAACCACCCAACTTCTATCGTTACCCAACACAATACAACACCCCTAATAGCACCGGGAACTACACCTCTGGATCTAATTCGGTAAGCAACAGGAATATTTTAAAAATTAATAAAAGATAGGAATAAATAAACCGGATGCGCCGGGTAGGAAAGATAATAGCACAATGCTATCTTGTAGGCCCTGAAAATGCATATTCGAAATACACTAACATTCCAAACAAAAAAAATAAATGTTAGCATTGTCCTTTAATCAGCAATATCGATAGGAGAGTTACATTATCTCTGTATGTACGTTATCGCGAAACATATTTTCCTGTGCCAGTCTAGATAAGCATAGTCTATAATTTTCCCTTTTTGTACTCGTCGCAGTTAAAGTGCATTCATTGTTTTTATCATGTCCAGAGTTATGAGATATGCGAGCGTAAGAGTTCTCTGCATCTTCAAATCAAATAGATTTTGATAATCTGTGTGTTTTCAGTATGGAAGCCAGAGAGTGCCAACAGCTGCATCGCCCAGCAACACCAGCAGTTCCAGTAGTCACACGGGCAGCCAAAGCGGTACCGTCACTACTTCTTTGAGCAATAATGTTGAGAGCAGCAGTGGCGAACAGTTGTCCAAGACCAATCTGTATATACGTGGCCTCTCACCCAATACCACCGACAAGGACCTCGTATCTATGTGTTCTCAGTAAGTCCTTGCAAAAAAATGACCAAACGTTTTGCTGCTTCACAAATTCAGCAACAATTAATTAATTCTGTTTTTTTTTTCTCTCTCTTCCATTACAGATTCGGCACAATTATCTCAACCAAAGCCATCCTAGATAAGAATACAAATAAGTGCAGAGGTGAATAGACGACCAGGATTACCTGGATTTTATATTGAAATTTCTTTTTTAATGCAACGAATTTTAATTTTGTAGGATACGGTTTCGTGGACTTTGAAAGTCCGGCGTCAGCAGAGAACGCAGTCAAGGCACTGACTGCGAAGAACGTTCAGGCACAAATGGCCAAAGTGGGTAATTGGTTACATCGTAGGCCCACTGTACGTTTGCATGCAAGTAATACCTAGCTTATCTACCAAAATCCCGACATACTTTAAATTCGCAGCATCCAGAATCACACAAATATCTTATTACAGTTTGTACATTCATTTATTACATATACAGTCAGGCAAAAAAAAAAAAAAAGAAAACAGTTGCGAATTTGAACATGTAACTCAAAGCAAATCTATTGCGATGGGCCCGCGTCCCCGAAAACCCCTCTAGATTTGCTCGGGGGTCCCGAGATTTGAGTTTAGTTAAATGAAATAACTTGTAGTTGTTATGGAAAAAGGCGGTAGATGCATGAACAATTTGATCTATACACAACAACTAAAGAAAAAAAAACAGATTTTGATTTGATGAACTTGATTTAAAGAAAAAGAGGAGCTTCAGTGCATTGTAGTGCCTAAAGAATCGATGTTTCTCTGTTAATTCTTTACAAATCCTCGGTACTTTTCAATATCGAAAATCTTATTATTGCAAGAATGGGCATGTAGCGAATGATTCTCAATAACAAGCATTATCTCTTTTTTTTTTCAAACTAAATTAACAAATAACTTGATAAAATTCAACGTTTTTTAATCAATTATCGATATGAGTACAGATAGAATTAATTAATTAATCGATTTTAATTCAAATAATGCACTTATTCTTGGATAATTTGAATGATGCTGGAGAGATTTGTGGAGATTTAATTAAATGTGTATCTTAAATTAGCGCTATATATATCTGTCTTATTATATGAACTCTTGAAATTTAGTGTACTTTGATGCTGATTATATATGGTTATAATATCGCGATGATGATGTTTAGAGTTTGGCGGGAGAGTATGTAATTCTTTTGATAAACGTTACATGATTTGGTGCATGCTGTATAAAATGTACAGTTTGATTAGAATGAAGACAAAGTAAAAACCGGTATTATATATATATATCTCTCACTAATCCTGTAAAATAATAGTTTGCGAAAACATTTGCGAAGAGTATTCTACTAACAGCAACAAGTGCCGTATTATTAATAATTATAATGATGATGAGGAGAAGGAGTTATTTGAAATTTAATGTTTAAGCTGTCGCCTAGTTTAAAGTTCATTGGAATGATGTGGATATTTTTTTATTTTCTTTTTTCCGGTTGGATTTCACTTTAGCAACAGGAACAGGATCCGACAAATCTGTATTTGGCGAATCTGCCCCCTAACTTTAAGGAGGCGGACGTGGATCAACTACTCCAGAAGTTCGGTCAGGTGATATCGACGCGTATCCTGCGGGACTCCGTGGGAATATCAAAGGGAGTCGGATTCGCTCGCATGGAGTCCAAGGAGAAGTGCGAGCAAATCATCAACAACTTCAACGGAACCATCCTGCCTGGTAGCAAGGATCAGCTCCTCGTGAAGTTCGCCGATGGAGGCAACAAGAAGAAAAGTCTTTATAAGAACAATGATAACAATAAGATGTGGAGGGACGGGGCCGACGCGATGTCCGCAGTCGCCTACGATCCAAATCCGTTGGCGCAGAACGGCCTCGCCTCCCAGCAGGTGATGCCAGCCACGCATCCGAATTTCAGACACCCCTTCCATCAGCAGGTAAATTCTTTTATTTCTAAACACGCTATGAGCTCGTGCGTTGACGACGATTGGTTCTAAATTAATTTCGGATTTGTTAGATGCCTGGTGGCTTTGCAATGCACAGTACCCCATGGATTACTCCGTACATGCTCCAGTCGCAGGCGGCCATGCCTTCCGTGGAGGACAGCTACAACATTTCGGCCAACCACATGGGCTCTTCCTACAAAGGGGACGGACAGACCCCCCGGAATATATCCGTCATCATGTCCGAAGTTCCTTTTAATCCGATGATGTCTCAGGTGAGCTGGCCGTTCGTCCCACCCATGCCATGCAATTGATTTTGATTCGATCCACAGCTTTCTGCTCAGATGGGTGCTATGCAGCTGGGCTCAGCACCGTACATCTCTCAGGCCCCCTACGCACCCTACTACACGCCTCAGATCATACACACCATGCCCATGGGAGACTCGGAGCACACCTCCAACGCCGCAAGTCCGGATGACCCCTATCAGGCTTACCCCCAGAACCCCCCTAAGTAGACCCACACAAGTAATTTATAAAACAACAACAACAAAAAAAACACATTTCGTGCCAACAAGATACATAAACAAAAACAACAACCACAACAACATTGGGCGCGCTATGGTTTTCAACAACACTTAGTTATACTGTTGGCATTCTTGTTTTTAAGTAATTTATTAAGTTAGTATCCGTTAACTTATTGAAGAGAAGATGATGAGGAAAAAAAGAGGAAAGAAGTAATAAGCAGTAACTGGCTGGCATGTAGAGTTCAACCGTGCTCTCAGCGGGGAAAATACCTTCATCAAATTTATTTGTTCGTTTGATATATTTACACATATATTTATATATTTGAAGCGTAGGATTATATCATTTTTTTTTTGGTCGAGAGAGAGAGAGAGAATTTATTTTTTATGGAAAAAAAAATGAAATCAAACAAAATATGGACGGCGGAGAGTGGTTACTGTAAATAGGTAGGCTAGGAACGAGAGCGATTTTTTAACATTGAGATTAAAACATTTTTGTGCTAAAGATTTTTTCGCGAGCGATTTGTATTCCTCGCTGTTGCGTTGTTGAGATTATATCTTTATATACATATTTGAGTAGTTCGTAAGTTTTCATTAAACACTTTATTCTTCTTTTTGTGAAATTTAGCGTTTCATTATGTTTCGATATGTTTTCTCTTTTTAATATATATATTTAAATTCTGGAGCACGGTTCGACGCTGCCAGCCGCCAGCCCAGTTCTTTGACAAAACAAATAATATGAAAAATAACAACAGCAAGCAACAACAAATAAACACATTAATTAAACAAACAAAAAATAATAAATATAGAAGGATCTTCCCAGATTTAGGCTTAGGTAAATTTAGGTATATTTTATTTTTTGAGAAGTATAATGATAAAAAAAAAAACAAACAAAAATGGAAAGCATGATGCGAATGATGAACCACGTGTGAGGAGGTAGCAGAAGTTTTCTTTTTGTGAACGAAGGTTTCTTGAAATGTGAGGTACAGAGAGAGAAAGAGAGAGAGAGGAATAAAAATTAAATTAAAAAAAAAAAGATGGAAAATTGTGTGCGTGCAAGAGATGATTCTAAAAGCGTGCCAGGTTTGCATGGAAGAAAGTGAATGTTAGAGAGAGAGAGAGAGAGAGGAAATATGCTCACAAAATTAATAATTTTAAAATCAAATTACATTTTTTTCCTGAATATTATTAAAAAGAAAGAATAATCTCTAAAATGCATTAAGAAGAAAAAATCAATGTTGATAAAAAAAAAACTGATGATGAAGGTTAATTAATTAATTAAAGAGAGAAATGAGAGAAAAGAAAAACGAAATAAGCATATATTAATTTTTAAACTAAAAAAAAATAAAGATAAACTTGAGAGTAATAAGGAGATATATAATAAAAAACGAACTTCCAAAACTGTATGTACTTCTTTAAAATTAATATTTTTGTTTTATTTAACTGAATTCGTTTTATTTATTTTTTATTTATTCGTCGAACAACTAGTCTATTTCGTTCTTTTTTTTTTTTGGTTTTAATGTGTTTTTTTGGTAAATAATGAAAGCAGACAATACCTGTAATTAATTTTTTTTTATTCAAGTAAAAAAAAAAGAAAGGAATATATATATTTTTTTTAAATATATATATATTTATTAATTATTATTATTTTTTTTTGAGCACAGCATTTGTTGGTGTAGGAATATTTTACTTAATATATGTCTTTATTTTTTTCTTGCAAACGTAACTCTTTTTTTTATTTTATTATTATTTTATTTTTTTTTGTTCAAAACCCCCCAATCGTTTCCCTTGATTAACAACAATTGTTTTTGTTTTGTTACACACTTAACCAATCAAAACACACATACACACACACACTCGAGGGCGGAGTTTCATCGGCCACTCCCACACGACTTTTGTTTTGACTTCTTCAAATTTCTTACACCAACTGAATGCGATTCTCGCTGCAACAGAGAGCATTATTACCGTAATTCGACTGGTTACACAACTTTTTCGTGATTATTATTACTTACTTAACTATGATTTTTATGAATTTTGTATCGGTTTAAACGAGAAATTGATGATAAGACGCCGCTGCCCGCCTCTTTAACACTGCAATTTGCAAAGGTGGGCGTGAGCGTTTTGTTTTTGTGTTGAGAAACGAGAGGAGTCTTCGCCTATTAATGAAACCGCCTCTTATACATGGGGGCGGTTCGTATAGTAAGAAAAACAAAGTATTTAATGAAAAAAAAAAACAAACGACTGAACTTTTATACATGCAATTTTAATCGTAGATTAATCGTGGAGGAGTTTAGGAGATTTTGTAACAGTTACTGTCATCGTCACAAGCCCTTATATATGAAGAAGAAAAAAAACTAATGAATTGAGAACAGGAAAGAAAAAAAAAATGCTATTATTGTTTATTTTCCTTAAATTACTTTTCTTTATCGACATTCCACAGTTTGTTTTCTCTCTATAGTTATTACTATTAATGCTTTCATTGAACAAGATTTGTTTTTGTACAGTTTTGCATATAGATTTACACATTTTCTTGTACTTTTACTTAAAAAAAAACAAACTACAACTATTTATCGATCTTGTTTCGCGTGCAATTCATGTTTTCTGTTCACTTCATGTTTTCAATTTTATGGGAATCTTTATAAACGGACTGACCTCTATGTAAACTTGCAGATTTAGATTTGTTTCCAAGACGTGTGGGGGGGAGTGTTGTTGCGATGATGCTCGCTTACTTAAGAAGTAGCGCGTATTTGATTGAGGATAGGATTTGTAAAATTTATCGAAACACTAACAATTCGCGATTCGCCGAACGATTGTGCAAAAAGTTAAGATAAGGCTGCGCGTTTCTCATTGGTCGTGGGGGTGAAAAGAGTGGGCGGAATTTGAGAGAGAGACGCCTTTATTTTTTTTTATTGCTTCGTTCTTTCTTTTTGGATACCCGAGATGTTGGGAGAGAGAGCGCGCGGCTTCGGGCGCGAATCGAAGATTGGATTGAGTTTCGAGAAAAGCACTTTATATATTGATAAGTAAACAGAACAATTTGAAGGGATGAAAGAGGCTAGAGAGGCCTGGCGAGGTTCGAGAGTAATACAAAAAAAAACACAAACATTGTAATCATTCATGGTAATTTGTTGTTTCGCGAAATCTCTTTAAATTTCAAAAAAATTAAATGAAAAAAAAATCAACATAAATTGTAACTGAATTGTTTCGTTTTCTTTTTGAATCTAGTCATATATAATTTATTTTTTACCAAAAATCCTGCGTGGGTATTTTCGAAGAGAGATTCTTCGTGTTTTGAATTTTTATTTTGAAAATGTATATTCGTGTTTTGTTGGGGGAAGCCAGGTTTTTTGGAGTGCTACACGTTTAAAAGAAGAAAGAAAAAAAAATGTACCGTGCCTTTTCAGATTAGTCCAGACAGGGATCTACTGAAAATATTTTAATATATTTTTTTAAAGCTCGGCGTAATTGTGAAAAGCCGACGAAAAAAAAAGAAGTAATATTTAAAGAAAAGAAAATAATAAGAAAGAAAAAAAACGTAATGATTAATAATGATGACATTAATAAGAAACGAGATGTAAAACAGAGACGAAATTATTGACTTTCTAAATGAAGTTCGAAATAGTTGGATTTATTTATTTTACTTTGTTTAGTTTGTACGGTTTTCGTTTTTTCTCCACTGTTTGCGAAACGATGACGCTGAGGAATCTGGATGGAAATTTGCGCTGTTAAAAGAGCGACTTTCTTCGAGGATTCTTCAGCTCCGATTAAGACAAGATTTGAAAGAATATAATAATAATACTAATATTTATATATATGTAAAAGAAAATATTTGAAAGAGAAATGATTGAAACTATAAATCTCCCCGGACCCGTTCTTTTGTGTGCTATCCAAGATAAACCGGAAGTAGCGTTGTTAGGAAAAAAAGAGATTGTTTATCTTTTTTTCGTTTGTTATTTGATTCTCTTTTGTTTTTTTTTTTCGGGACGCCCGGACGTCTCCGGCGATTGTCGTTTTCGGTTTTCTTGATTTTGGAATTCCCATAAAATGCGGAAGTGAAGCCGGAAATTTCTGAAAACCAAAATGAAAATGAGTAATTGCAAAAAAAAAAACAAACAAAAAAAAGCAGAAGAAAGAAGCATGACAGGATGAAGGGAATGGGAGGAGTGTATTTATTGAGACGGTGCACTTATTGGTCGGAAGAGTGCAAAAAGTGAAGAAGAAGAAGAAGAGATTTTTACACGTGTTATATAACTGAGAGGACGATAGAGAGACAGAAAAAAAAAGAGAGGAGAGAAGAGAGAGAGAGAGAAGTCAAAGCTGTTTATTTTCTTATTAATACCGTAAACGTATATTCACGATGGGATGAAAAAGGGGAACTATTTTTTAGACCATTACAATTATTAAGAATCGGTTGGAACCTACCCTATTCAAGTCACGGCGACGTGTATCTATTATGCGTCGTTCCGAGTGGATTGTAAAAAGTTTTCTAGGTCTTAGGTACTTATTATAGGTGGCTTCTAGCGATTGAATTAGGCTTCTTTAGTTCGTAAGCTTTACACTCTACATGGTATAAGAAACTTAAAATTTAAGGACGAACGAGGACGAAAAACGATTGAAAAATACTTGCAAAAAAAGAAAAACAAAAAAAAAAAACTGAATTTAACATAGTGTTTGTAGTTAGCCAGTAAGTTTAAGAATTTCCTTTGAGTCATCTTTGGACTAATTTAAGAATTTTTTTTGTTTTGTTCTTTCCTCCATTATAATTAGCGTTTAAGTAAAATAGATTATATTTAGTGTTAAGCATACAATACTTTTAGTGGATTCTAAGTGAGTGTGGGCATTCTGTTGGAAGATTTCTTAATTTATATACGTATATATATATAAATACTTCGACTAAATGTGTCCCGATGTTCTATAATTTTTTTTGTTAATTGTAAGTTTGTTTTTTTCTTTTCTTCCTTCAATTTGTTTTCTCTGTAAGCTAAGGTATTGTATACATTAACAGCAGTTAGTCAGCTGAAGGTGCGGTCAGAGTCCAAATTTGACTTGACGCCTGATCACTTGATGTCGAGACGTCTCGTGCGGTCTCGTTGAAACATCCAAGTTTTCTTTAGATTTAAGTCTTTTTAAGTGTTTCTTTCTTTCCTTCCCCACTTTCTATTGTTAATATAAGTTTAAAATCTGTAACTAATTGATTTCTCTCCACTGTTGTTTCTTTAATTTCCTTCTTCTTGTTTGTTTCCTCCCCTAAATATTATTATTATTCTTTTGTTTTTTTTTTTTAAATAATGTAAGTCTTCTTAATTTTGTGTTTGGTAAAAATAAACTGTACTTGTCCAGGACTTTTACCAGAAAAATAAACATGAAAACACACAGTCTTTGCTTATTTATTAATATCTTACAAAATTTAAATATTACAGCTTGATTTAATCTTCTTGTGGCTCGACAACTTTCAAACATTCATCAGCGAATTCAACAAATATTGGCTCCAACATTGCCTTTGACATAACAGCTTCAGCATCCTTCGAATTATCTACGGCTACTAACAGATCTCTCAAATGCTTATTTTTAAGCATATCTTTCAGCTCTTCGTTGCCTTTCAGCAAAAGCAGCTTGTCTTCAGGTACTGTATCATTCGTAATAAAATCTTGTCTATTCACATCCTCCACCGGTGGAACTGAATTAACTTCACAGTTTGACTCTCGATGTTTCTTGCAGCAAACTACACTGCAGCTAAAACATACACAAATGTTAAATTAATTCATATATTAAAGAAATAACAATCATTAAAATACTTACTAATAGATTAAACATGTTGGACATTTGTATATACCATCTTGTACCTTGCAAATAATGCACTTCTTCATTTTATCTTAATGTTTTGAATGTTAATATTTATTGAGGTTATAGTAACACAGAACAGATGAAGAAAATAAACAGAGGTTAAATTGATTTAAAAAAACTTTTAATACATGTATGTTTGGTTGCATACATAACAATTTGATGGTGTGTACTAAACTTTAATTTTTATTAATGTATCATTTTAATATTAATTATTAGTAATATTCTTAGTGTTAGTTGCATAATAAACTTATTAATAATTTGAATAATGTTTGTTTCATTTCTTTGTTCTAATTATTAATTACAAATATAAAATGTAAATAAATCAATTAAAAATGTAAATTAATAACGATAGACTTTTAGAATTTATCATAGCATAGATTTTTGCAAATTTTTGGTAGAATCAAAATCAGCCATCTCTTGGCAATCGAGCAAAGATTATAGTTCAGCTATTTCTGCGCTGTTCCAATTAAGATTATTTTAATTTGAATTTTAATTGGATTTCCTGTTTAACAGAATGTGCGTTCTTTAATTGTCTTTTACTTAATTGTTAATGTTATATAATTCATGGAAATTCGTTAAACCTGTTAATAAAGAGTAAATGGTAATAATAAAATCGATACTTGCCTTGCTTTTAATACAAACAATTGAAATTTGGTACAATCCAAAAGAAAAAATTAAACAATTCTAAACATACATTTTAAATGGGGATTTGGAGGTCTGCATCATCTCGAAAATGGTTTATATTCAAAGTTAATTTATATTTGCAATACATATATTTCTTGTTTGTTTCTCTCATTTCTTGTCAAATTAATTAATAATATTTATATATATATATTTTACATCAAAGATGAGCAGTATAAATAGACAGGCAGTCGCATAACATCACAATATTGTTCAGATAAACAAATGTATAAACATGACAAAAAGCACTATTGGCAACGACTGATTCAAACTGCGTTGCTGCGGCAACGAAAAACATGTTTTTGTTTTGATCAAACGGGGAATTGCAAATCCGGTTGAAACGACCGGACTATCACAGATGAAGATACATAAATGTACAATTTAGTCGATTAATATTTAATTAGTACGCTCGGATTTGTATGTTAATGATTAGTGCAGCTTAATAAGATATAATACTGAAAACAATAACGTTATAAAAAAAGGATATATTTTTTCAACTGAAATTTAACTTTACGTTAAGATAAAGTTATATGTTGGTTCTGATTTAGCTTTATGATTAATTACTTTTTTTTTGATATATTACATAAAGAAGAGTTGCTGACTAATGTCCAAGAATACAAATTCTTTCCGTGAGAAAGAACCATCTGGGTAAAGTTTGGTATAAATATATAAAAAGTTAGAAGGGATGGGGTTGAGGAGTATTCGACACTTTCTTGCAAACATTGAAGCAGAATCCGATTGTATTTTGTTTGGAAAAGTATGTAGAATTTCTCGTGTAAATTGATTGATTTGAGTGATTGTTGTGTTGTGGTCCATGGATAAGTTAGAGTCGAAGATATATTAAAGAAAACATTTATGTGGATGGCCGATTTTTGTTTCGTTTTAATATTTAAGAATGATCCCTCCCTTTTCTAAACAATGTCTCTTTGTATTTAGGAAAGGGAGGGACGAACCTAAGTCTGACCCTCTTTAATAAAATGGTGAATAAAATGAGTCTTATAATAGTATTAAAGTAAATTCTAAGTATTATAAGTTGTATAAAAGTATGACAAAAAAAGTCGTCAGTACGGTCAGTGCTGGTAAACGATGGGATGCGATCCCAAGGGCGTCGGATTTGTCGGTGTAGGGAGCCTTAAATCCCGGATTCTGGAGGTTTTTGGTGCAGCCCATCCATTGTGGTCCCGAGGCGATCTGCTCTGTCGTCTCCACTCTCATCCTGAGATCGTTGAATTCCCAGTAGCCGGTGCCCTTGAAGAAGTACGTCTTCCCTGAAACGCATCAACAGTTCAATCAACAATAATTTCACATTTTAAATAAATAACTAACTAACCGTCTTTCCATTGGAAAACGGCGTCGATGTTGGGTTCAACGCCGGCCCACATCGACATGCTCCTCGGGTAATCCAATTCGACGCGTTTCGATTCCTCGTCGAAGCGCCAATATTCGTTGCCGCTGAAGAAGAACGTTTTACCGTTGTGACCCCAGATCGTCGCACCGTCGATTCTCTCGAGGCTCTCCGGCAGACCCATATCCCGTATCAATCTGGGATAGTACTTGTCCATCGTTGTACCATTGAACACGTAATAGTTTCTTCCTATGAAGAACACTATCTTGCTGTCCGGCCGCTCGTACACTGCATCCACATGGCTGAAATCATCCGGCAATCCGTGCCACATCATCTTTATCAAAGCCGGATAATTTGAGTGTAAACCATTGTTTCCGATTCTCCAGAAATACTGAAAAAGAAAAACAATATTTTGTTTATTCAAAAGTACTTGAAAACAAGTTGAAATAAATCACTTAGCAACAATTATCAATAAATGGAACGGTTGCTACGTAATTCTGAAGTTATTTATAAGTTTAATAGTTCTTACAGCGTCTTTGAAGATGAATACTTCGTTGCGGATAACGGCGATGGAATCGTAGCTGGTGTTGCACGTGTCCGGTGGACGATGCTTGTTCGTCGACTCCTTGTACCACGTATGTCTCCTCGTCGGTTTCTGCGTGGTGGTCGTGGATGTTGTGGTTGTAGTCGTCTTCGGCATGGTGGGATGGTACCTGGGATACTTGTCGTTGTGGTGCCTGATCGGTGGGTATCTGCTTGGATGTTTGTGCGGGTAGTAATCCTTCTTGTGATCCGGATGCATTGGTTTTCTAGGTCTGTACGTTTTTGGTCGATGCTCCCATCTTGGTCTCGGGGTAGTGGTAGTGGTTGTCGTGGTAGTTGTGGTCGTGGTGGTTGTGGTAGTGGTGTGTCTTCTAGTTGGAGGAGTCTGCGGCTGCTGCGGATGGTACACCGGTATCCGATCCCATTGCTTAGTCTGATGGGTACCTATAAAACATATAGGATAAGATTATCAAGTTCATCAGTGTCAATAACAGATGGATTACCGTATAAACTCTGTATGGCCAATCTGTCGTCCTCGGGCAGTTCATAATCGAAACCGTTTTGAATCCCTTGGTACCATGGATACATGAGAGCTCCTTCGACGGACGAGTGCTGAAGTCCTAACGAGTGTCCAAACTCGTGAGCCGCCACGTGAAACAGACTGGTGCCTGCAATAGGCACGTGCAAAATATGAATTAGAACGAAAGTCGATAAACAACCCATCCCCTGTTCCCTTTTCACCACTTTCCTTACTTCCCCACCCATTTATGAAAATAAAGGAAACTTAATCAACTTGTGCAGATATTTCCCAAAGTAAGTATGAACCTCTGTGTGAGTGTGTACGAGTAGTGAACGTCCGTGCAATGATTAATTACTTGCGAACTAAATCTGAAATCCGCCGAGCGAAAGGGCAAAGGCCGTTTTCTCCCATCCAACCTTCTCAGATAAAGACAGAGACAGAGAGAGAACTTTGTGCGCTTTAATATTATATCCTTCCTTCATTTTTCCTCTAACCGCCTCAGAACTTCGAATTTCCATCAATTACATTCGGATGATCGTACCTAGAAACACCAGGAACTCCATCGCACCGCATCCGACGTTCGCGAATTCACGACTGCATTTTAAAATTAGCTCAACACTAATTTAGGCACTACGTACGTACGTGCGTTTCCGCATCAAACTACTTGCCAAAAAATACTTTACGACACGCTTCATACACCTATTATTCAATTTATCCTTCAAATTTACAATTTCTTTAATAAATTTATATAGACATTTTAAAGTTAAGAATGTTTTAAATTTAGCAGTCTTATCAAAAAGTTTGCTTTATATGTAATAATTTGTAACTAGAAAACAAATTGAGTCTTTTTTTATTTCATTATTACTTATATTTTGAAAAGTTATCAAATCTTAATTTCGTAACTAAAATCATTAAATTTTAATAAAGTTTAATTATTTAATAAAGTTCATCAAAATTCTCAATTGTTCACAAACAATCTGATAATTATAATTTACGAAATTAGTTTTGTTATCATGAAAAAAGTTAGCATTTGTAACTAGAGAAAAAAGTCATTTAATTAATTAATTTCTTCAAAATTGTCAAATAATATGATAACACTAATTAACGAAATATACAAATAAAATTGACCCAAGATGAAAAACAAATATATTTTGTAAACTTTGCATTTGAAAAGCTGACCCATTTGGAGTGATTTGCACGCTTCACATTAAAACAATGCAAAAATAATCTGCTTTTCATTCATCGGCGGACAACGGAAACTTTTCATTTAAGCCCTATTCCGGAGTTGCAAAGCCGCATATATAAAATTATTTTTACCATAACGAAAACTTTTGCAATCTAATGAAAAACATGTAATTAACCTTTTTTTTTTTTCAATTTAATTACATCAAATGAAAGTAATTATATGAATTGCCTTCATTATTGTTAATGGAAATTCATCATATACTGGAAGTAACTAAAAATAGTTAGTTTCTTGATTAATGTTTGTTGCAATTTTTGTGAAAATATTTTTTAAAATAATGTTGGAATTGTTCTGGATTCTAGATAAAAACGGATGCGTTTGTTATCGTGAACGCAGGAAGACTGCAGCTCTTAGATACGAGCTTATCTTGTGGCAAATTTGGAAGCATCCTCCTCCGCGCAATTCATTATTCCGTTAGGATTCCACAGACGTAGTTTAAATTGTGACAAAAGCGTTGAGGATTTGAATCTGTCTTTCCCCTCATTGACATTAAATAGAAGTACTAGGCATTAGTTTTTTCTTTTTACCTCCATCCTCATCCTGATTCTCTCGCGTGAGCCAAGTCTCGTCCAGATCGAAATGAGCGTCTCCTCCGCGCCCGCTTCCTGGGAAGAATGCATGAGCCAGAACCTGACCTTTACCATCGAAGGCGAAGTTGTCTCCGTGCTCACCGCTAAAACAAACAGATTTCTGTTAAGTCCTACCCCCCAAACTGTTATATTTCTTTTCATCCACTCATTCCATTTTTCTTTTCTTTCTCATCCAACTTCCGAGAGCGCTCGTTAAATGTTGCATGACTAAAAACAATATTTGCTCCGCTTTTATGGCGCTCTCACTAATAGGATATTCTTGTTGTTTGCGACTCGCTCAATTATCAGAGATGTGCTGCTTCTCTAAACTTACACATTACTTTATATATTTCAATATCAATGTTATTATTCAATACATATTTAAGTAATTTTTGTTTGTTTTACCTGTGAAAGTAAATTAGAATATCCGCTTTGGTGCTGTTGCCCTCGGTGAAGGTGAGCTTTGAATGTTTGCTCCAAACATCCAGCGCCTTCGAAATCACCACCCTCACTTCGTACGGATTCAGGTGGCGTAAATTCAAGCTCTGCAAACTGGAAAATAGAAGAAAAACATAAATTTAACTAAATTATTCGACTTTCTGGAAATGCAGAATAAAAATGAAACCGTTGTCGATCGAAATCACGACTGCATCAAAATCCTGTTATCGTTAAACTCAATGAAAACATATACAATAATATATTGTTATTAACAATCTTATTGTTACGGTATATTATTAATAATTCAACAAAATCAAATAAAATAATAACAATTTATTGTTGTCGGGATTTTGATAATGTCGGGATTATGCTTACAGAGATTTCGATACTGTCGGTATTATGCTTGTAAGAATTTTGATAATGTCGAGATTTCGAATGTCTGGAATTTGATTGTCGGGATTTCTATATAGAGCTTATAAATAAACGCATATAAATGTCGGATATCTTCATGTAATTAAGTGTCGTTTAGGTGATCTGGTCTACCACGTCAAAGGGTGTCTCTGTCTCTTTGGAACGTGTATTTTGAGGGCGTAGGTCGGACGTGTGTGTGTGACCCTTTCTAAATGTTTCCAACGTACATTAAACATCAAAGACGAACCTCCGACATTTCAACAAGGGTAATGGCCTTCCGTTTTATCATTTTCTTTTTTTTTTTTGGTTTACTCGAGCCTATCGACCATTTACATGCACAACACTCACGAAATACAAGAGAAAAACAAACAGCGCGTAAAGAAAACGAAATAATAATGCGCACGCTATGATAACAAGTGCACGATGGGATAGGGTAGGAAAACAGGACTACGACGAAACAAAATAAAAATTATGAAACGCCAGCTGGTCATAAATCATACTCCGTTCTCTGGAATTGATTATTTAGAAATGCGTTTTGATAAACAGCACATGCATTTTTATCCGTTCGCTGATAAAAAAAAAATGTAATTTAATACGCAGAAATATGCGAAAATAAAATATATTTCCGGTTCTGCTTTTCATTTATTTATTATATTCTTGTTCATTTTTATTTATTTTTCAGATTGCTCACTTCACTTTTAATTATTCATGGAAGGCTTTGAATCACGAACAGTAAAAATATGTATATAATATTCATTTTTCGTTGAATAAAATGCAGACATGTAAATAATTTAATTTAAATGAAACAAAATTATTTCTTTACTCATGTGATAGTTGTTAAACTTTGTTATTAAGTTGTCTTTTTGCTATACACTTTTGTTTTGTTACTATGGACACTGTTTCCATACAGACAATTCATGTTTTGTTTCTAATGAGACAGTCTGTTTAAATAATTTGACAAAATTATCATCTAGTTAGTAAAAATAACTTTAGGTTTCTAAATGGTTTTGCTATTATCTTCAGTTATGAAGACTGATGTAAGGAATTTAAAAGCGTTGAACATTAGACTGTATTTTTTAAATTTTTACCATAATTTGTTTAATCTATCTATATCTATCATTTTTTCTAAGCCAAAATCCCAAAGTTTCCAAAGCTTCTTTATTTATTATTGTATAGTAAGAACATTATCATTAGACAACGTATAATATTAATAAATACTTTCAAAACAATCAACTTTGAGTGTTATTAGTTTGTAATGGAACTCCAGTTTTTTTAAGTAAATGAAAACGCTATATGTATGTATTCTACACCTAAATGGTTATCGATTGTCGTAAACCTTTGAATTTTTAAGTCTATTGATATAAGTTTTTACTTACTTAACATTCAGTTTTCAATACATGGTCAAAATATATTATTTTATATAAACAAATTAAGAATCAAATTTATTTATTTTTTTTTGATATAAAATTGGATATTTTATTAAGGTAAATGATGTTGAAGAGGTTGCATCTCTTGACAAAAGTGACTTGATGTTGGAGTGAAAACAATTTCGTATGTAAATTGGATGTTTTGTTTCGGGGATTGAGATTGTCGGATGATGGCAGATCTCGCAGCTTTGTCGCCGCCGCAATCGTTGTCCTCGGATGTAGGAGTTCTATCTAATTACACCAGACATCTTACACATGTTAACTAAATCAAATTCCATCGCAAACCGTTCTACGCTCTCCGGGAAAGATGTTTTGTGCAGTGTAAGAGAGTTTTTTTTTTATGCTCTTGCAATTGTTGTTGTTGCTGCTGCTGTTGCATTGTTTTGCTACGACGGATACACACACACCCTCCGCATCCGCGTGTCTAAGAGATTGCGAAGAGGGTTAGACTTGTTGGGAGTTGTAGGGTTCGTGAAGGGTTTCACCCTTGGTAGTTCGTCGAGTGCGTCGCCTTTTGTTTTAGTATGTAGATGATGCCCACCCGGTCGCTCACTCAAGGAGGTTGTGATGACACTAGAGGACACATCACACCCAGGTTGAGTGAGTCACCGGACGGACAGCTGCTTCATTCCTATATCCCTTGCGGTCTCCTCATCTGTACATCCTTTTCCTCCACCGATGGGCTTTTTTTTTTAAAGTGATAAACCGAATTTTCCCTGGAGGCGCTGAAATTTCCGTACTTCCTCTTCAGACGTCGTCGAATTGTGGAGGTGGTTTGCGAGGGGTTCGGTTTTCGCATTAAGCATCTAATAGGGATAAGATTGCGCGAAACGTGGCGCAAAAATTAGATTCGCGTCGCCCCTGCGACTTTTCCACTCCTCCCTTTAATTTCCTCCACCGGAAAATATACTCATCGCCCTTCTTCATCAGAGAGAAGAAAAAAACATCATGATGTTAAAAATTGTATATAGAATAAACTTATTTCCACTCACTGAACAGTGGGCGTATTCCCATCACATTCAAATTACCAAGAAACTCACCCTGCAAATTTAACTTATATAAAGATGCAAATCTTATAATCACTACTTTAAACTTCATTCGACAAGCAATTTAAGAAATATAATATTTCACCGAAAAATGTCGGTTTTTTATTTTTATCACTTTAAAACCAGAAAAACTCACATTTTAATTTAACTATTACTTAAACAAAGATATAAATGTTCTTTTTACTAATTAAGTTTAAATTGAAATAAAGAAAAATAACATTTTTTCTTCAAATAAAGATGTATAATAATAAGCAACTATAGAAATATAATATTTCACCGACAAATGTGGTTTTTCATTTTTATCACGTTAAAACCAGAAAAACTCACATTTTAATTTAACTATTACTTAAATAAAGATACAAATGTTCTTTTTACTAATTAAGTTTAAATTGAAATAAAGAAAAATAACATTTTTTCTTAAAATAAAGATGAATAATAATAAACAACTATAGAAATATAATATTTCACCGACAAATGTCGGTTTTTGATTTTTATCACTTTAAAACCAGAAAAACTCACATTTTAATTTAACTATTACTTAAATAAAGATACAAATGTTCTTATTACTACTTAAGTTTAAATTGAAATAAAGAAAAATAACATTTTTTCTTCAAATAAAGATGTATAATAATAAACAACTATAGAAATATAATATTTCACCGAAAAATGTCGGTTTTTGATTTTTATAACTTTAAAACCAGAAAAACTCACATTTTAATTTAATTATTATTTAAATAAAGATACAAATGTTCTTATTACAAATTAAGTTTAAATTTCACCGACAAATGTGGGTTTTTTAAATTTTTATCACTTTAAACCCAAAAAAAAAACTATTTTTAATGTAACTATTACTGAAATAAAGACACAAATATTACATTTATTTCTTCATTTTCTATTAAACAGCATTGGAAATGCAACTAAAGAAACATATAATATTTCAACACCGACAAATGTCGGTTTTTTCGTTTATTTTTATCATTTGAAACGTTGGAAGTATAAATCACTCGGTTCCTATTACATATCCTTTCTATACATATACATTTTTTTTTCCAGTTGGAAGTGAGCTTGCTTCACGCTTCCAGAGACTGAATTATGCACAAAGGGCGAAATGTCTCCCACGTCTCTCTCTCTCCTCGGTTCGCGTTCTGCGAAAAACCGCTCTTTTCGACGACGATAAAAATTTCGACGTTTATTGTCGTTCGTGTTCCAGCTTTCGTTTCACGATTTTTCACGCTGACCGGGACACAGTCTCAAATGAAATCTCACAACATCAACAAATTTCAGTTTATTTTTTTAAATTTTCAATTTCTTATTCTGTTTTACAATTCTTCAACGTAAAATACGACAAATTTGACAAATATAATTATACCAACATAACGATTTTAGTTTAAAAATTGATTGAATATTGATCCGCGTTCTACATTTTTACAAGTAAATATAAAAATGGAAATGTCACACCCTTATTTGACCTTTATATAAAATGAATTACGGCAATTTCTCAAATAATTGCATCTATTTACAAATACTTGGAAGTGAATTCAATTAAATTACTAATAGAATCATAGCAATCAAAATGTAATTTAATTCCAATTCGATTAACATCGAAATTACTTTTCTTTTTTTTAATATGTTATGCAAACACGGTTGAATACGTTAAGCTTTTGAAAGCAGCAATACGCGAAGAAGCGAACTGACGCAACAATGGATGATATCGAAAAAGGAGGAAATAGTGAAAGAGTCTTCTAGCTTTTCTTTCCATTCGACTGGGAAAAGGGGCTCGAATTTATGCCGCATGTTTGTTTCATCGTTGCAGTGTAGTATATAGTATACATTATCGAGTGAAAGAGGGATACGCAAGTGGAGAAATAAGAAGATACCTCCGAGAAGCCATTTTTATGTCATAACATCAGGGCTTCAGGTTTCAGGACGTGACGCACGACCGTCTTCGTATTCTGCTGTATTTTTAATTCGTCTCATTATTATTGATTTCTACTCTCATTTATTGTTCTATAAATAATTATCTGCTAATTGAATGATTAATCTAAGTTTCTAATTATAATTATAGAAAAGAAAAATAGAAATTTTAAAAAGATTAAAGAAAATATTTATATAAATTCGCTCAATTGCAATAAGTTTAGCAAAATATTTCAATCAGTTTTTTCAGTGGATTTCATCAATTTCAATAAACTGAACTCTATCATTCTCATTCAAGAAATATATAAACTGTTAT